CTTCAGAATGCTGCACAGTAAGGAAGAACTTCCTGTCTTTTTCAAGCCACTTTCACAAAACTGTTCTTTGAAAAGAGAAGTGCTGGGCACCAGCCCGCTAAAGCACAAATGAAATATTTAGGTCTGCAATTAGCGGGTTTGTGCTTTAGCGGGCTGGTGCCCAGCACTTCTCTTTTCAAAGAACAGTTTTGTGAAAGTGGCTTGAAAAAGACAGGAAGTTCTTCCTTACTGTGCAGCATTCTGAAGTCCTCCGTCAGGTGGGCGTGGTCTTCATCAGATGCAAGAGTTTTAATTACAGCCAGAAACTCCTTGTAAAGATGATCAGTGTTGTTCAGCACACCTACAACAAACACTTCAACCCCTTCTCTTTTGGCCTCCATGATGGTTTCTTCAAACTTGACTCCATCGCTTCGATCGGTCCGCCCGTCCATTAGAACCAGAGCCACCTTCCTCGCACCGGGCCGAGACCCCCTGAACAGCTGACTGGCGTGATGGATGGCGCTGCCTGTGAAGGTGCCCTCACCTGCGTAGGGCATTGTTCTGATGGCACTCTGGATCCGGTGCAGGTCAGGCTGCTGCTGCAGGCTCAGGACCACCACGCTCACATGGCTGTAGAGGACCACAGCAACCCGAGTGGCTTCTGGGCTCACGGTCACCTGGTCAACGAGCCCGTCGACAAAATCCTTCACCGCCTCAAAGTTCTCTGAACCTACTCTCTCTGAGCTGTCAATCATAAACACCAGGTCTAGGGGGMTCTTGCTGCACTTCACATTAAATCCTATAAAACACACAAAAAAGCTAATTAAGCAAAAATAAAATGATCAGTTCTAAGTGTTTATTTTAAACAGCTCAGTGCTCTGTTACATTTTTACAGTAATTAAATACAGTCTGCAATAACCCAGTAATAAAACAGGAATTTAAAAATTAAATCCATGACTTAGTTTAGTATTTTATCACTTAATGTCTGCTTCTGTTTCTATATGAGTAACTTACATTTATTAGAAACATTAGCTGTTAACTGAGAACTAACTATTACTAAATATTTGTAATTTCCTCAAAAGTTGGATTTTACCACAGATTTCTCTTATTATTCCAAGGACCTCTTCTCTCTGGATGTGTGGGAGAAATAAGGTTAGAAAACGTCATTTTAAGCCCATAAAGATGGAAACAGCTGGTCATTRCCTCACCGTCAGACCTGGTTCCCCTTTTTCTCCAATTCTGCCCTGGAATCAAAATAAAGGTTGATTTAATGTGTTTTATTATCAGAAGTTTGGGCTTTCAATACAAAGAAAACCTCCAACATGGATCCAAGACATTGCACTCAAACGCAGTTCTGTGGAGAAGTTATCGGCAGGTAGTATCTTACCTGTTTTAGATAATTCTCTGAACAACCTGAGCAGCCAGGACAAACTTGGACTGCCTTCTGTCAAAAACAGGGGTCCGCAACCTTTATGCTCAAAAGATCCATTTCTGCAACTTGGCTCACTAATAAAATGTTTCCAGAGCCACAAAAAAGCTACAACTGTCATTTTCAACTGAAGGGCCGTGGGCCTTTTTAAGGCCTTTTTGGGAACCTTTACGGCCAGTGCAGGTGACATTATAAAGCTAATATATTGTGAATTTTATTATTATTATTTTTACACATCAGGGCAAATGAAGACCATATCCATGTCAAGAAGAAAAATACTGAATATATTTTTGACTGAGTTTCACAAAAACTAGTACAACTGAATTATTTAGGTATATTTATTTCTAATTATTAATATTATGTAGTTTTAAAATTATTTAAAGGTAATTCTAATGTAATTGAGAGAAAGAAGTTGGATTAAGTAAACGACAGGCTAGCATAAGCTAACGTTTTACTTTTTGTATTAGTAGTATCGATCACGTATTTGCATACAAATTGATTTCTGTTGAGTATAAAAACAAACAAAAAATTATTCTGTTATGTTTGGTCACATTGAGGGACCAAAGAGCCACATGTGGCCCCAGACCCGCAGGTTGCAGACCCCTGGTCTAAACTCAACTCCAGTCTCAAACARGTGAGTCAGTGATTTGTGGGAAAGCTTATAAACTTTATGACCACCATCAGCTTCTGAATGAACGATTGTTCTTACAGAAATATGATCTTCCTTTACTACAGCTAACACATTGTTATGTTAGCTGTTGTTACATCTATATAAATTTGTAAACAACCATACAATTCTGTGTAAATAAAATATTTTTACATATCAGTGATGGGCACTGTTCCAATAAACCACTAATTCGCTAACAGCGGAACTAGCTTCTCATTTAGKAAATWAGCTTTWTTGCAAAGTTTGGGAACTGTTAGCGAACAGATTAGCTTCCRGTAAGTTAGGTTCTGCTGAATTTAAGTCTGATAAAAATTCACAAGTGTAAAACTTTAAAACTTATATTTGGTATCACTTTACAATAAGGCTCCCCTTACATATGGCTTATAAATAGTTTATAGATATTCATCTGTAAACACTTTATAAATAATTAATAAGTGTTTATTATTCATTAATTAAGGACAGGAAAGGGACAAAACTGTCTGATTTCTTGCCAAATAGTGAGACAAATGTCTTCATGTAAATATCACGTCTAAAGGTGCTTTTTAAACATTTCAGACTAGTTTACTACCTTGTAAGGACAATAATTTATTGAAAACACATATTTTTCATATAATATTGTACTGTATTACTGCATTATACATATCCACAGTAATTAAAGGGAGCCTTATTGTAAAGTGTCGAACAGTATAATAATATTAACGTCATACCAGAGCCTTATAAATAGTGTACTGTCTTACATTTTACAATAAGGCTCCCTTTGACAGTTGTTAATATGTATAAGTAATATAGCTCAATATTATTTTTTAAAATATGCGTTTCCAATACATAATTGTGCTTATAAACCTAATAATATGTACACAAACAGATTTGGTGAGAAATCAGACAGTTTTGTCTCTTTCCTGTCCTTAATTAATCCATAATAAACATTTAGTAATGATTTATAAAGTGTTTACAGATTAATTAATAGCCTATCTATAAACTATTCATAAGCCATCTATAAGGGGAGCCTTATTGTAAAGTTGAAGAAATTTATAGTTATTATAGATTAGTACTGATGTTAGAAAACAACACCAGAGTTTTAGGGTTTCCTTTTTATAATATTTGTATGATGTTTGATCTATTATGTGTTAATTGAAATAGAGTAGATACATGTCCGTATTATAAACAACACATACTGTAAGTGAACTGTTTTAAAATATTAGGTTGAGGTCTTTGTCTGAATGCCTGTGATTCAGCCGTAGGTCAGCAGGGGGCGAACTCAGGCATTGAAGAATCGTGTATAAAAACATGAACTTCCTGTCTTTGAGTCAGTGTGGTTTTCATTGTCAGCCCGGTGACAAATAAACCTGACTCAGGTCCAGAATTCTGGTGTTGTATGACTTCATTCCTTTCACAAATCAATTTATTTAACACTTGTGTTTTCATCTGACTTCAGTCGATATTGAACATGTATTTCTTACAAAGTGATACCTACTATTTTTATGCTGTTTATCCTGGATTAAATAAAAAAAAACTATCCACTTTTACAAGCAATGCTGGATGTGTTTAGCAGATTAGAGGTTAGTGAAGCTAACTTTTTGGTAGTTGTGCACACCTATTATAAAACCYCACTGAATGCAGTTTATTGTATTTAATAACATTTATAAAACACATTAGTGAGGCTTTCTAAAACGTACATTTGTTCTCAGAATAAAAGACTTAGAAGTAGCCAGTTGTCATCAGAATATTTTTAGGAAACGTTTGATGATTTTTTAAATAAAAAGTGGAATAAACTGTTACCACAGGTCCTGGGGAACCAGGTGCACCATAGTCTCCTTTGTCTCCTTTCCTTCCCTTGTCTCCAGGAGAGCCTCCATCGCCCTGTGGGTGTGGCAGTCATTTAGAGACTGGTCCTCYCAGCACAAGGCAAATATCAAAGCAGTTGTGTTTTTGTACCTTCTCCCCTGGAAGACCTTCGCCTTGTACCCCTCTGGGGCCCATGGGGCCCTGAAACCCAGGATCTCCCTAGGAATAAAGATGGATGAATTACTGATAATAATGAACGTTTTTCTACGTTTGGAGCTGTGATGATGCTAGAGGGCCAGAGTTCTTAACGATATAAAAACAAAGGAATAAAACCTGATCCTACTGTCTGAGTTCTGGTATTTTTCTTACCTTTGATCCCATAAGGACCCATCCTGGGGGCCCTGAAAGGCCAGGTGGTCCAGGCTGACCTGTAGAACCCTAAAACCAARATTAAAGGGTAAATCAGAAATATGTTTACAAAGATAACAAACTGRTGGTCCACACACTGACCTTTGGTCCATAAAGTCCAAAACCAGGAYGACCTGCTGGTCCTGGGACACCTGGTAAGCCTCTGTCTCCCTAAAACAGAAACCGAGAGAAGCAACAATACTTTTTACTACTTWTCTATTATATTCAAACTACCTCGTATAGTCCCTACTGTGTTTACAGAAATACCCCAATAAATGAATAAAAACACCTAAAATTCAACAATTAATTAAAAAAACACATGTTTTATAATTAAAATGACCTTCATGATTTTTCCAGCTTATATATATATTTTAGCACAGTATTTAAATTTTATTGTTAAAAAACATAAATAAACAGTACATTCTTGTGTCTTAATTTTTTCATTTAAAGTTTTAATTGTTTTTTTCTTGCGTGTCTTTATATTTCCATGAGGCGTTTTTACATTTTTCTGTCTCCATGAGCAGATTGATTGTGCAGGCAGAACAGAAAAATGTAAAAACACAGAAATAAAGACAAATCAATTTAACAAACTGGTTGTATTGACACAGTACACTAAAGTGAACTGCTGCTCCCACAAACTGAGGCAGCACAAGCATGCACAGCAGATCTGCACATGGATCCTGCTCCTTCCTGTCTGCTGACCAACAGGAGAGAAGCTGACCCAAGAAGCCCCGCCCACCTTATTTACATAATGAGGCAGAAATGCGTGCGGTAAAATAAAAATAGAAGACAACAATGTAAAAACAACACATGGAAGTAAAAAGACTTGGGGAAAAACTATTAAAATGTAATAAAAACATTTGCATGTACAAGTAAATGGGAAACAACCAATGTCCACTGGTGTCCATTACAGGGTCACCAGGACATGTCTTCAATCCATTATGGACAAAGACAAAGAGAAAACCAGCACACTCCCAGTCACATTAGAGTCGCACAGAACTGGTCTTACATCATCTGTTGCTGCACAGAGTTCTAATCACTTAATAAAAATCTATCATATCTGCCACAGTAAAGCATTAATTTATGTTTGTATCAAACAAGTAACGCTTCATGTTACCTGCCCCCCCAGTTGGACCACAGTGCTGCCAGTGAAGTTAACTCACCTTCACTCCTGTTGGTCCTACCCCTTCAAGCCCCGTTTCTCCTTGTACTCCTGGTGAGCCAGGTAAACCCTGAAGATCAGGACAAAATTACATTTCTTTCACGTTGACTGAACCCAGCAGTGTCTAGCTGCGTTTCCATTACAAATGTGCGCAAAACTGTTGATATTCTATGTCGAAAAAACAG